AGAGAGGAGAGGGGGGGGGGAGGGGGGGGGGGGGGGGGTGCGCGAGAGAGTCCAGAACCTAGACCCACTTTAATAACAGTCCAGTGTGGAAAGTACCTGAGGTGGTTTATGGTAATCACAGAAAAATAAAACTGTTTAAATGTCACAGTTCGGTTCGAGATGGACAAACCAGCATGAGAGACGGATGAAAATTGATGGACACCTCCATCACTGACTTCAAATGTGCGGGGTTTTTTTTGTGACTTTCTACTGTTGGAAACCTCAGATTTAGATGCAAAATAAACTGGCCACAACATGACCAAGGTCTTGTGTCCAATGTCTAAAATTTTCTCTGTGGATTCTGGTATGATAAATTGACTGGTTGTAGGAGTATAATTCTGTTTTTAACCGTACAAAATAAGCAACAGTTGAATCTGTTGCTAATGCAGAAATACAGAAAAGCAATAGCTTGGTCTTTTTTTTTTTTTAATTTTTTTAGACTTTTTTTTAAAAAAAAATTTTTCTAAAAAAAATTTTTTTTTTTTTTGGAAAATTTATTTTTGGAAAAAATGTTTTAGAAAAAAAATATATAAATATAAATTTATATTAATTTTAAGAAGAAGTGACGTCTAAGTGACGTCCAAGCGATCTCCAAGTGACGTCCAAGACCTGAAGCCTGTCGTTTTTGGACAAATACTCATCAAAACACTGAGCTTGAACTTACTGCAGGTGTGGGGTCGGTGAAGTCAATCAGGTTGTCGATCAACGGGACAGAGAGTTGAAGGTCAACCTCTTCTGTTTTAACCTTCAGAAAACAAACAAACCAAAAAAAAAACTTTTATATTTACAGTTCAGCACCAATACTGTAGGTACAGAATGAAAATATATTTTTTTCTCCGCACTGAAAAATACTTTTAATTATTGTTAAAATAAGCATAAAAAAAGTAAATGTAGAAAACCCTGTTACCTTTGAAGTCATGTGATCACTGATGGACTCAGGAGGCATTTTGGGAAGGGAGGGGTTTACCTCGTCAGCTAACTTCTCAGAACTGAGGAGCAAAAGAAGAACGTTGATAAGAATTTATTTAAATAAACTCAAGGACTGAAGCTCAAATTAAAACTAATTATTGAATCAGCAACACTGATTTCTTTTTTATCTCTGTCCCCCAAAAACCCGAGGTCTTATTTTTCAGATCTGCCTGTGTCTGCTCACTCACTTGGCTCCTGCAGGTGAGGCCTGTGATGCCGGTTTCAGCTGCTCTCTGAAGTCCTGGGCGTCTGGACGAGCCCCCGCCGAGAGAGAGGAGTTACTGCCAAGTCTTCCTCCACGAACCTTCAATCTGAGATTACGACAAGAGTCAGGACTGTACGGTTCAGTTGTACTGTAGAAGTCATGATGTCATACACTCAGTATTTTCCCGCCTCCACCTCCTCATTCAAAGTCTGTCAGTCATTTATTTACAACCAATGATCTGACTGTAATAAATAAATTCTCTTAAAGTCTCATAACTACAGTGGATTATAGAGAGGGAGCTGCAGGTGATGTCATGTTGTGAACAATGCTAAGAAACTAAGTAGTTTTTGAGGAGGTTATTCAGTGATTTATGGCCCGTGATTGGCTGAGATGCTACGACAGGACAAGGTCAGGTTCAGGGAATGAAAAGCCAGTACAACAGATTTGCCATGTTAATATTTTTAACGTAATGTCTTTATTTTTATGCTTTAGAAAAAAATTCTATCATCTGAATGTGGCACAAATAGAATATTTGAATCAATTTGTCCCGTCGTAGTGCCCCCTTGTGGGGCACCCCACTTTGGGAACCGCTGACACACTTTTGTCTACTTACTTACTTAATTTTTTAGTAATAATGACTGTCTACTTACTTAATTTTTTAGTAATAATGAACATTTGCAACATTTACTGTGATGACACTTTATATTTAAAAAAATATGAAAGTGAAGGTCATACCTGGCAGAAGCTTCCTGTAGATGATATTTAAAAAAATATGAAGCTAAAGGTCATACCTGGCAGAAGCTTCCTGTAAGTTGCAGTTTTTATCTCCAACAACAATGAAGTGTTCCTCTAAAGGTGTCTGCACAGATGTAACAGGAGGAAGAAATGTTGATGAAGTTACACAGAAACTGATTTGTTTTTATTCTACATTCATCACATTTCCAGGAGGTCAGAAAACAAACAAGTATTAACCGTACAATAATATTGACATTTCTTTAACCACATTCACAGATAAACACCAAACAAAAAATTAACCCATACAATGATCAATAACTGGTTCATTTTTTTCATCCTTACCTTGGATGCAGCCGCCTCAGCTTGTGCTTTAAGAATGTTACTTTTCAAATCCTCTGGAGGGCGCAGTGGAGTCGAAACCGGACTGCTGCTTGTGCTGTTCAGAACACACTTCTCTGTGACTTTCAAATCCTCCTGTTGGGAAAAAACATCAAGTTAAAATATTTAACATCATGAACACAACCCACTGCTGGGTTCTACCACACACCTGATTGTTCATGGCCACGTTCACGTTGATGTTGTTTCTTGGAGTAGAAAGAACCGGACTGTTCTCCAGCTCCAGCTGCTTCAGACGAGCTGCTGCATCTGTGTAGACGGAAACACATCCATGTACACAGTACACGCAGTAGTCAGATTATTATTATTATACTGTAACAACGTAGTAGTGAAGTGTTCCTTAGCAGAAGACTAATTCAATCCAAACTGTCATTCTGTACCGACTATTTCCCACTCATTACATTAGACAATATACCAAATAAACAAAGGATAACATTTTTAAAAATATTATTAAAAATTGGATCAATAAAATTAAACTTTTCTGTGTAGCTAACACAGTCAGCTGAACAGAAAGTGAGCAGAGCTTTGGTGTCTCCTTCTTTCCAGTCTCTCAAACTGTGTAGGAACATTTTTATGTTTCAGTAATATATATGTTAGTTTTATTAACTATTTAAACTGATCAACTGATTACCTTAAAGTAATAATGAGTTATAATATAGTCTCACCACTGAGGTTCAGAGGATCTTCCACTGTGACACCAGCACTGGTACCTGCTCCGGCCTCTTCCGTTGTCGTCACCGTGGGAACCACAGTTGCTCTGAGCACATCATCAATGCAGGTCTCCATCAGGTCAGCAACCACAGGCAGACTGGGGACAATTAAAATGATATATAAATATATATATATTTGTTACACGACTTACATGGAACATAAAGACAGAGTCACCTGGATGGAAGGAATAAAAAAACCTGAAATAACTTTCCATAACATTTGAACGGCTGCTGCAGAGACAGCAAAAAATTTCATGATACACCATCAAAAATGACATTGATAAAATGTAAAATAAACAAAAAATTCAAGTTCAAACAGACCTTCAAAGACTACAGAAATCACCATAAATATACAACGGTGTACGCCTTAGGACATGGAAATTAAGGAATAAAACCTTGGTCTAAAGATTCAGTCCACTGTGATTAAAAGAGAAACTAACGGAGAAATAAATCAGCAGAAATAGAGAGCAGACGTCTTATGAAAATAAATACTGAGGCTTTAAAGTAAAAGTAAAACAACAGCTTTACAAAAGCACGTAATAACGTCCAGAAAATGCTGTGCAATATTCTCAGAATTTGAAACAACCCAAAGCCAAAACACTTTTTTTTATAAGAAGCAGCAGCTGAGTAATTACCTCATATGTCTGTAGCCTGAAGACACAGTCAAAACATGGTTAGCCTTCATACTGCCTGGACAGAGTACAACACTGTACAAATACGTGACAAGGAGTACTACACTCTGCCAGAGGAGTACTAGCAGTCAAACGTATCCCTTAGTTTCAAAAGAACAAACAGTGAAGATGTAGAAACTAATGTTGTCTGCAGGAACAGAAAGAACTGAAAAGCTAAAAAAAAAAACAAATGTCATATTTTGTCAGTAGTGAAACCTAAGCCCAAAGAAATACTTTTTAAAAAATCAAGTTTTTCAGCAATATCTTTCCAGCAAATATTTTGTCAGTAGTGAAACCTAAGCCTGACCTGTTAAGGACATCAATAACTGACCAGTAAATTTCACAATTTAAAAAAAGAAAGTTGAAAATCCATCATTAAAAACTACACACTGCTCCACGACACGTGATCATGTCTTTATTCTCTGAATGGATTTTTAACAAACAGGAAGTGTAAATACTTTGGTCACATCCACGCTGTTAAACGTGTAACTACTTCTTAACCTGGAGTTCACCAGGGTTGAATAAAGATTATCTTCATAACGTATAAGAGACAGAGGTTTCATCTGAAGCCAGCAGGCAGCACCTGTCCTTCATGCAAATCTAAATACGTTGAATCCAGTCAGCATTTTTTTAAACGGATCAATACTTTCAGCGGTTCTTGAACAAAAATATTATAAAGTTCTCCACTGGAAACAGAACTAAACATTAATCAGAATGAAAGCGTTGTTCGTGTTAATCTTCTGTACAGAGTAATAATAAAAGTGATTTATTTTTTCAGATAAAAGAATCACATTCACACCGATTAAAAAAAAATAAAAATAGAGCAGCAGAATGACGGAATGTGCAGAACAAATTAAATATAAAAATCACATTATCTTAATAACATTTTTAAAAAATTATTCAGTGGAACAGACAATAAAAATGCTGTGTTTTCAAACATGGAAATGATGTCGGATCAATGATTGCAGGATTTTTCAGGAGGCCGAGGAGAAGGAGCTGTGACTCCTCGAGTCTGGTTTACGCTCCCTCGTTTTAGAAGAACGGCCAGTAAAAAAAGGATTTGAGTGACAGAACGGACAAAGACAGGAGACAAGGTCAAGTGAGACCGAAGGTCACGGAGCTACTGTACGTAGACGACACTGATTGGTTTCTGTTGAGATATGTTTCAGTCAACAAGGTTAATATGAGATTACTCCAGGCGTGTTCTGTCAGGTGTTACAGTCTCCACCAAAAAACACAACTTTGTCATGGGTGGGGTGGCAGGCTGGGGGGTGAGTG